TGAGATCTCAGGGAAAGGCATTTTCCTCCCCTGAGATAATGTGCATGGTCACATGTCCTAGTCACATGTGCCAGAGTTCCAGGAAGTAATAGGAGAGCTAGTAATCTGCCCTTAGTAAACATGGCCACTGTGAGAAGACTGGGGAAGAAAAGAAAAATCAGGTATGATAATACCAAATAATACGAAGCCGGCACTTATCTAGAAGTATGTGTTTGTAGATTGTCATTACTAAACATTTCTAAGGCCTCATGCACACACAACGCAAGAGCAAAATTGTATATATGCGTATGTATACGCACGTATGCGTGCATTATATGCAATCCCAGAATGCATCATTCATAATAGAAATTTTCATGAACTGTACGCGCGTATGTGCGTAAAATACGCATAAATATGCTGCCCTGACACATCTCGGGTCCATTCTGTTTTTGCGCAACTTTATGCTACGCAAATATACGGCTTCATACGCAGCTATGTGTATGGAGCCATTTATTTGCATATGGGACAATACGCACGTACGCGCATACACGTAGCGTATTGTGCTGCAGTGTGAATGAGGCCTAAAGGTGTGAGTGTTGTTATTTTTAAGATATGTGTAATGGTCCGCTTTAAAAAGGTCAGCCCACCTTTAACTGATATCTCAGTTTTTTTTTTACAGCTCCTGAGGTGAGATTTCTGCATACCTAGGCTTCCTTTGCTCACCTTCTACAAATACTAGTTGCCTGGCTTCAGAGTATTCTGAGTCACCTTCCCAAAATGAATAGAGAGTAAGGTTAGTCAAAGTGCAGTCACCACTCCTGAACTGCATGCTTCCTTCCGGGTCAATGACTCAGAATGTACTCAAAGTGGACCTATAGCCCTCATGCACACTGGAATCGGCCGGCACGTACAGCTCCGTGCAGCGTGCAGGGCCGTATCGGGCAGCTCCCGGGAAGGACAGGTGCTGCGTGTGATTAGTCTCTATGGGACAAGGATAACATAGACACCGGCATTCCAAGCAATGAATCAATGGCGTTTGTTTATTGACGCATGAAACATAGCACAATGCATCAAAAAGAAACGTTTCGGGGGTCTCCATGGGACTGCGCGGCCGTACGCCCCCTACGCTCACCCGCCCTGCACGTGCGTGCGTGAGCTTACTTGTCCGCTGACAGAATGGATCCTGTCTGCGCCCAAGCCAGGAAACACGCACCCCTACGGACCTGCACTTCAGGTGAACTTAGGGGGGCGTATGGCCGCGTAGTCCCATAGAGAAGGACGGGGGCAGCGTACTAATCACACGCAGCACCTGTCCTTCCCGGGAGCTGCTCGGTACGGCCGTGCACGCAGCATGAATCTGTACGTGCGGGCCCATTCAAGTGTGAATGAAGGCTTACCCCACTGACTAAAAATCCCATCAGCATCCAGCTCTGCATTCTTATATGAAATCATCTTACATTCATTAGTTAAACAAACATGGAGGCCCCTATGATTAAGCCAGATCAGTGAAACGCGTGAGTGGTTGTACGCATGGGAAGATGTTCCACAACATGTATTTGTTACTTCAATAAAGAACTGTTTTATCCATGGTGATCCATGGAAGCGCGGCTTGTTTTTGAGAAGAATTAAAATAAAACCATGTTTGTTTAATGAATGAATGTAAGATGGTTTCATATCAGCATGCAGCGGTGATTTTTGTATGAAAGGGGATAAAGGTCCGCTTTAAGCTCAGGCTGTCATTGACCCGCCTCAGCCTGCGATTGGACAGTGAAAGAGAAGCAGCACAGTTATGAGCTCATCGCTCTGCTTTCACCTCCTTTCCGCATGCTCCTAGTCAGCACATGACCTGATTGGGTCCTTGAGTTGCTTCCTTTACTCCCACTCTGAGCTCTGCTGTACAGGGACTGCAAGGGGCTGGTAACAAGTCAAATTCAGTTAGTTTCTTACACCACTTACATTAAAAACACATTTCAGGACGTAGTAATGAATACAGATCTGCATTATATTGTGTCATTTATGAACAGAGTGTGATTGGCTCCTTTGTTCTACTTTAGTCTGCACATTGCTTATTATACATGATTCCCTGGGGAAATGGTCCGCCATGTAAACTATCCCCTGGCAATACTTGACAACTCGTCCTCAGCATCCTGATTTGTTGCTCAATGTTACTGCTTTCTGCACATCAATATATCTTGTAGCACGTTTACTTCAGAGCATCACCCTTCAGAGACAAGCCCATCAGTACAGCCAAACGTATACAATACACGCCTAAAATATGCAGAATCATGGAATACACAAGCAATTGACACATAACATAACAATACTGATATCTCCCTAAACCTTTATTTGTCTCTTAAAATGATGTTTGCTTCCTATGTCCCTGGCCTTAATTGCTCTTCCATCCATCCATCCAGATTTCCAGCCCTCTCTCTATATTTCCCATCTGTTAAAGCCTGCTCTCCTCTTCTCAACATCCCCACTTCCACCATATTTGCTGACCTTTCACCCCCCATCCATCAGTCATTGTTCTTTTATGTTGACCATTGATCGTAATGTGACCACATTTCTGTATTCCTTCCCACCATTCCTGTGTTTCTCACATCCTACATCCTTATCATCTTCTTCCCCCAGTCCTCTTTCATCTGTGTCTGCTGTTCCATATCCTTCACAATCTCACTTCCCCTCCCCCAACTGACCGCAAACCACCGACACCTACCCCAGTTCTCCACAATGCCCTTATATTGCCTTCCCCCTCCCTACTCCTTCTTGGTGCCCAGCGTTTACAGTTCCTCTCCTCCCTTTGCCAGTCCTTGCCACCCCCTAACCTGTTCTGCTTGTTAACTACCACCCTGCCTATGCCAACACCACAGTCTCTGCCATCCTCTTATAAAGGACACCTTCTAAGGGCCCAGAATCTACAATGTCCCCCTGCAATTCTTCCCAGTTCCTGATATTCCTATGTCTCTTCTGCTAAATCTTGTCATCATCATCATCATCATCATCATCATCAGATATCCCTGTACCCAGCCCCTGCTGGAGGATCCCTAATCTTCATACACTTCTTCTGCCTACACCAGTCCCTGGCACCTTATACCATCCTCTACCACTCTCCCTATGCCAGTCTCTACCACCCTTCCCAGGCCAGACCCTACTGTGCTTCCTATGCTCCTCTTACCCCCCTCCTGATGTCCAGAACACCCCGTGTTTAGACAATATAATCCTCCTGTGTGCCAATCCATACTACCCCGCTGTATGCCAGTCCACACTCCCCCGCTGTATGCCAGTGCATACTACCCCGCTATATGCCAGTCCATACTACCCCGCTGTGTGCCAATCCATACTACCCCGCTGTATGCCAGTCCATACTACCCCGATGTATGCCAGTCCATACTACCCCGCTATATGCCAGTCCATACTACCCCACTGTATGCCAGTCCATACTACCCCACTGTATGCCAGTCCATACTACCCCACTGTATGCCAGTGCATACTACCCCACTATATGCCAGTCCATACTACCCCACTGTATGCCAGTGCATACTACCCCACTGTATGCCAGTGCATACTACCCCACTGAATGCCAGTGCATACTACCCTGCTGTATGCAAGTCCATACTACCCCGTTGTATGCCAGACCACACTACCCCACTGTATGCCAGTGCATACTACCCTGCTGTATGCCAGTCCATACTACCCCGCTGTATGCCAGTCCATACTACCCTGTTGTATGCCAGTCCATACTACCCCGCTGTATGCCAGTCCATACTACCCCACTGTGTGCCAGCCTATACTACCCCGCTGTGTGCCAGCCTATACTACCCCGCTGTATGCCAGCCCGTACAACCCCCTCTACCCGGGTCTGGTCTCTGGTACCCTTAGATGTCCCTTGGACGTATTTCTACTAAATCCCTATCTGCTCAGTGTGTCAGTCCCCATGACCCTTCCCACACCACTGTACCTATGATCCTTACCCCTGTCCTTTTTATTCTCCCTGCATCAGTCTCTATCATCCTTATCCCCAACCAAATACTTCTCCCTATGCCAGTCTCTATCATCCTTCTCCCCATTCTAATACTTCTCTCTTGCCAGTCTCTATCATCCTTCTCCCCATCCTAATACTTCTTTTTGTGCCCGCCCCTATCATCCTTCTACCCATCCTAATTCTGCTCCCTGTGCCAGTCTCTATCATCCTTCTCCTCATCCTAATACTTCTCCCCATGCCAGTCCCCATCATCCTTCTCCCCATCATAATACTTCTCCCCATGCCAGTCCCTATCATCCTTCTCCCCGTCATACTTCTCCCTGTGCCAGTCTCTATCATCCTTCTCCCCGCCCTAATACTTCTCACCATGCTAGTCCCTATCATCTTTCTCCCCGCCCTAATACTTCTCACCATGCTAGTCTCTATCATCCTTCTCCCCATCCTAATACTACTCCCTGCGCCAGTCTCTATCATCCTTCTCCCCATCCTAATACTTCTCCTTGTGCCAGTCCCTATCATCCTTCTCCCCATCCTAATACTTCTCCCCGTGCCAGTCCCTATCATCCTTCTCCCCATGCCAGTTCCTATCATCCTTATTCTCATCCTAATACTTCTCACCATGCCAGTCCCTATCATCCTTCTCCCCATCCTAATACTTCTCCACGTACCAGTCTCTATCATCCATCTCCCCATCCTAATACTTCTCCCTGTACAAGTCCCTATCATCCTTATTCTAATCTTAATACTTCTCCCTGTGCCAATCCCCATCCTCTTTATACCCTTCATTCTCTCTGTGCCAGTCATTTATGTCATTGCTTATCATCCTCCTTGTGCCAGTCCAGATCCATCTTACCTGTGTCAGTCCCAACCATCCCTATCCTCACTAAACCTGTCCCTATCATCCTTGTGCCAGTCCTGATCATTCTCCATATGCCAGTCTGCACTCCCTGACACCCCCATATTTCTGTCCTTTCCTTCCCTGATAATGCTCCTTGTCCCCATTCCCTTCCATGCCAGCCCCCCTTTCCCCGGTTCTCACCAGTCGGTGTGCGGCTCGTCAATGACCAGCAGTAGTTTGGCCCCCCTGGACACCGCCCCGGAGACACCCCCGGCCGCGGTAGACACCTGCTCGCTGAGGGCAGCGGTGGTCTGCTTGACAGCATTGGAGAGAGAGGAGAAAAAGCCCCCTCCTCCCCCTCCGCTGGGCTCCGGGGACACGGCGGGGGGCCCCGGGGAAACGGAGGGAGACCACACCCCCGCGGCGGAGAGTGTAGGGCTCCTTCGACCGCAGCGACTGCACAAAGCTGGAGCGTACTATGATCAAAAGGGGGGAGGCAGGGCGGTGAGGTTGAATCACCTGCATTGTAAGTCCCCCTGTGATGTTGCAGAATGGAGCGCTCTGGTACCCAGAGGAAGCGAAGAAGAGATGAAAGTGCTCAGAGAGAGGACGATGGGGTGCCAGCACCTTCATTGGGGGCAGCCTGATACTAGGATGGGGAGCCATCGCCATCATAGGGGCAGCCTGATACTAGGATGGAGAGCCAGCACCTTCATAGGGGCTGCCTGATACTAGGATGGAGAGATAGCGCCAACATAGAGGCAGCCTGATACATGGATGGAGAGACAGCACCTTCATAGGGCAGCCTGATACTAGAATGGAGAGGCAGCAGCTTCATAGGGGCTGCCTGATACTAGGATGGAGATACAGCACCAACATAGAGGCAGCCTAATACATGGATGGAGAGACAGCACCTTCATAGGGCAGCCTGATAGAAGGATGGAGATTCAGCACCTTCATAAAGGCAGCCTGATACATGGATGGAGATACAGCACCTTCATAGAGGCAGCCTGATACTAGAATGGAGAGAAAGCAGCTTCATAGGGGCAGCCTGATACTAGGATGGAGAGACAGCACCTTCATAGGGCAGACTGATAGAAGGATGGAGATTCAGCACCTTCATAGAGGCAGCCTGATACATGGATGGAGATACAGCACCTTCATAGGGGCAGCCTGATACTAGGATGGAGAGACAGCACCTTCATAGGGACAGCCTGATACTAGGATGGAGAGCCAGCACCTTCATAGGAGCAGCCTGATACTAGGATGGAGAGACAGCACCTTCATAGGGCAGCCTGATACATGGATGGAGATACAGCAGCTTCATGGGGGCAGCCTGATACTAGAATGGAGAGACAGCAGCTTCATAGAGGCAGCCTGATACTAGGATGGAGAGACAGCAGCTTCATAGGGGCAGCCTGATACTAGAATGGAGACACAGCAGCTTCATAGGGGCAGCCTGATACTAGGATGGAGAGACAGCACCTTCATAGGGGCAGCCTGATAGAAGGATGGAGAGACAGCACCTTCATAGGGGCAGCCTGATACTAGGATGGAGAGATAGCGCCATCATAGGAGCAGCCTTATACTAGGATGGAGAGACAGCACCAACATAGAGGCAGCCTGATACATGGATGGAGATACAGCACCTTCATAGGGGCAGCCTGATACTAGAATGGAGAGACAGCACCTTCATAGGGGCAGCTTGATAATAGGATGGAGAGACAGCACCTTCATAGGGGCAGCCTGATAGAAGGATGGAGAGACAGCACCTTCATAGGGGCAGCCTGATACTAGGATGGAGAGACAGCGCCATCATAGGAGCAGCCTGATACTAGGATGCAGAGACAGCACCATCATATGGGGAGTATGATACATGGATGGAGAGATAGCACCTTCATAGGGGCAGCCTGATACTATGAAGGGACAGCACTAGACATGTGCACTGCCAAAAAATTTGTTTCGTTTCGTTTTAAATTCGGATTTGTGTTATTTCGTTTTTTAGGATTCGGGTGTGAAAGTCAATTCGGATTCGGAATTCGGATTCGGACGAAATTCGGTAGCGTTCGTACGAACGTTCGTTTCGTTTTCTGTTCTTATGCGTTTCGTTCGTTTGCAGCAAAAGTGACATTTGAGGGGGAAAAAATATTTTTCTCCTCAAATGTCACTTTGCTCCAATGAACGAAACGCATAAGAACAGAAAACGAAACGAACGTTCGTACGAACGCTACCGAATTTCGGAAATGGAAATTCGGATTCGTTTGCATTCGTTATGTCTGTAATTCGGAATTCAAATACATCCAAATGTCCGAATTTCCGAAAATTCGTCCGAATTTCGATTCGGAACGAAACGAATCGCACATGTCTAGACAGCACCTTCATAGAGGCAGCCTCATACTAGGATGGACAGAGAGCACCATCATAGGGGCAGCCTGATACTAGGATGGAGAGACAGCACCTTCACAGGGGCAGCCTGATACTAGAATGAAGAGGCAGCACTTTCATGGGGGCAGCCTGATACTAGCATGGAGAAACACCATCATAGGGGCAGCCCAATGCTAGGATGGAGAGACATCACCATCATAGGGGCAGCCTGATACTAGCATGGAGAGATGGCACCATCATAGGGGCAGCCTGATACTAGAATGAAAAGGCAGCACCTTCATAGGAGCAGCCTGATACATGGATGGAGACAACACCATCATAGGGGCAGCCTGATAGAAGGATGGAGATACAGCACCTTCATGGGGGCAGCCTGATACTAGCATGGAGAAACAACACCATCATATGGGGCAGCCTAATGCTAGGATGGAAAGACAGCACCATCATAGGGGAAGTATGATACTAAGATGGAGAGATGGCACCATCATAGGGGCAGCCTGATACTAGGATGGAGAGACAACATCTTCATAAGGGCAGCTTGATGCTAGGATGGAGAGACAGCAACTTCATAGGGGCAGCCTGATACTAGGATGGAGAGACAGCACCTTCATAGGGGCAGCCTGATACTAGGATGGAGAGATAGCGCCAACATAGGAGCAGCCTGATACTAGGATGGAGAGACAGCACCAACATAGAGGCAGCCTGCTACTAGGATGGAGAGACAGCAGAATCATAGGGGGTAGCCTGAAAATAGGATGGAGAGACAACACCTTTATAGGGGCAGCTTGATACTCGTTTTAGGCTGCCCATATGATGGTGTTGTCTAGGGATGCACAGATACTTTTCGAGTACCAGTGCAGATACTTGGCATTTTCATGAGAACTACCAGGGTTGCAGCGGTTGCAGCTGGGACCTGGCTTAGGCACTCCACCACTGTCCTGAAATCATTAGTCAATATTGTTTTAGAAAAACTGTCACATGACAATAAACAAAAATGTATCAGTACTCGTACTTGTAGGTACTCGGCAAGTACCAGTACTTGTACTCGCAAAACTGGTATCTGTGCATCCCTTTATTTATATTTATAAAAACAAAATCGTACATTAAAACAGAGATGTACAAATCCCAGGAGCTCCGTGTGCTCCTTACAAATGACAGCTACCTCCTAATTTTTGAATTTTTCTTGAAGCTCAAAAGTATCGGTACATTTACTTGTACTTGTATCGAGTACTGTACTTGGTATCTGTGCAACCCTAGTGTTGCCCCTTCATCCTAGTATCAGGCTACCCCCTAGAGAGACAACACATTCATAGTGGCAGACTTATACTAGGATGGAGAGACAACACCTTCATTGGGGCAGCTTGATTCTAGGATGGTGAGACAGCACCTTCATAGGGGCAGCCTGATACTAGGATGAAGAGACAGCGCCCTCATAGGAGCAGCCTGATACTAGGATGGAGAGACAGTACCAACATAGAGGCAGCCTGATACATGGATGGAGATACAGCACCTTCATAAGTGCAGCCTGGTAAAAGGATGAAGAGACAGCACCATCGTAGGGGCAGCCTGATACTAGGATTAAGGGACAACACCATCAAATGGGCAGCCTGATACTAAGACTGCGCACAGCCCACCTGAGACCCCACAGAGCGCAGCTGTGATCCTGCAGAGCCCACCTGAGACCCCCACATTCCAGAGACCCCACACAGCCCACCTGAGAGTGACCCTGCAGAGCCCACCTGAGACCCCGCACAGTTTACCATAGATCCCGCACAGCCAACCATAGACCTTGCAGAGCCCACCTAAAACCCCACACAGCCCACCTGAGAGTGACCCTGCAGAGCCCACCACAGAGCCCACCTGAGACCCCGCACAGTCCACCTGAGACCCTGCACATACCAGAGACCCCATGCAGCCCATCTGAGAGCGACCCTGCAGAGCCCACCATAGACCGTGCAGAGTCCTCCAGAGACCCTGCAGAGCCCACCGGATACTCTGTATAGCCCAGCTTAGACCACACACAGCCCACCTGAGACCCCACAGAGCCCATCTGATACCCCCTACATACCAGAGACCCCACATAGCCCACCATAGACCATTCAGAGCCCACCTGAGATCCTGCACAGCCCACCTGAGACCCCGCACAACGCACCTGAGAGGAACCCCTCAGAGTTATAGTTACGCCCCTTGCAGAGCTCACCTGAGATGCCAAGCAGCCCACCTGAGAATGACTCTCTATGGTGGGCTCTGCAGGGTCTCAGGTGGACTGGTCAGGCTCCCTTTCCCTGCGCATGCAGCTCCTCTTACCTGTCAGCCCGAATCCGCCCTCTGGTGGGCCCCGGCCTCCTCCACCACCACCCCCGAACCAGCGCTGCTGGGCCCCGGCCTCCTCCACTGCCACCACCGGACCATCGCTGCTGGGCCCTGGCCTCCTCCACTGCCGTAGCTGGACCGGCACTGCCGAGCCTTCGCCTCCTCCGCTGCTGGGCCCCGACCTCCTCTACCTCCTCTGCTGGACTCCGGCCTCCTGACCAGGCCCCCCTCTGCCCTGGGCCCCATAGTGACCTTGTGGGTTGTTATGGTGTTAGTTATGCCTCTGGTCCTACGTTTACCCTGCTGAGACAAAGTCTGAGCTCTCCAATCAACATGGAGTGTGAGATTTGTTGATTGCAGAGCTTTAGGTCTATATCACTGGGGGGCATATTGAACCTCTGCAAAGATTCTACACAGTGCAAAGGTATTTCTCGATATCATGTTGGTGGGGGGCAGGCTTTTGCACTCTAAAGAAGATTAAAAAAAACAGTAAGACTTTACAAATCTTATGTTTTGATGCCCCTGGAATGTATTTAGCTGCTCTCTCTCTTCCTCAAAAGACTTACCTAATGCTTCTTATGTCATCTCATTCTACTCTATCAATTGCTTTCAGTCTCTTATGACTGAGCTCTTTTAGATCGCCTTCCATATAATTTAACCATTTTTCTTTGGTCCTCCTCTCTGCCATATTGCTCATGGATTCTTCTCATAAATCTTACTTATACGATCTCCCATCCTTTATCACATTGATAAATCATCTAATATGCTGGCTTATTATATCCTACTAAACTTGTACTGTAAGTTCAGTAGCTGTTGCATAGTTCTTTTTTTGTTCACATTTCTCATTTGCATCCGCAGATTCCCTCCAAAAAAATGCTTGTAATAAGGAAAGCCAGCTGCTGATGATAATACCTACTGGCCATCTACTTCCCATTTTTTTAACAGGGCTTTATTACTGGCAACCTCAAATC